TTTGTGGAAAATTTTGTGATGTTTACCAAATTTTTGTAGGCTCCGGACAATTTTGTTATGTCTGGAAAAAATTTTCGACCCCTAAAATGGTACGCTGACCGAAATTTTTTTGGTGACAGGGGGGGGGGGAGGTCGCCAAAACAAATTCCGGAAAAAATTTTTTCGGTAATTGTCGGGCAAAATCCGGAAAACTCGGGCAAATTTCTTGCCGCCCCCCTAAATTTTTCCTTCCGGTACGCCCATGCATCCATTGTCTATTTCGAAGCCATTGGGGTATTATTAAATCCATGACACAACTATAATACATGACCACATGTACACATCATATTCAATTGCAAACAATTTTCAATTGTATTTCGGGTTTATTATACATGGATTTGCTAGCAAAATAGCAGCAATTGATGAACTTGGTGTTATACTAAGATTTACTAAATGTGTAAAGAAACAACGAAAAGTATATATCAATCAGAGTCATTATCTTGATCAATTTTCGATGGGATCTCCAAAGAAAGTAGCTACATGTGCAGACAACATGAAACTTCAGACTGCAGAAAATTTCACAATCCATTATCAAACTTATATCACAGAAGTGGTAAAGGACATATGTGACAACTGAATAGTACCTTTTGTAAATTTTTTGGCCAGGGGTGGGTATTTATTTTTTAATTGATATTTGAGGTTGGGTAATCAATTTTGTTTACTTTTTAATGGTTGGGTCAGCAAAATTTTTGCTACGAAAAACATTTCTCTTCGGTGCCACCCCCCGCCATAAATAATGACCGGTCCCTAAGGACTGGTTAAATCCGGTATTACTGAACATTTAAGGATACTCATTATTAATATATAACAAGACGCTCCACGGAGCGTAAAGTCGCTGGGGCGATGGAAATATGCAATTTTAAGAACAGCGTGTTTGCTTTTCCGAAAACATTGAATCTTGAAGTTTGCCTGGCAGTTAGCGCTAATAGTTAAAACAAGTACAACCATGTAGCAATGTTGTTTTAATAGTCATATAGTATACAGTATCTATCGTATGTGTTAAAATTATAAGCGTTTATCCTGTTGTCATTACACAGATCGGCTGGTGTAATGTTACCAACCGGTGCGTCGAAGGCTGGAAGGCAAGAATATTCTTCCCTTCGAAATTAAACACATTATAACGTCTGTGTAATACAATGCCTCGTGAGAGGAGATTACCAAGCGACTGTATTATGTATAGCAATAACGCTTCAGTCATATCTACTAATCTACATACCAGTGCGCCTGTGCAGTATAGAGGCGGCGATCTGCATGGAATAATAATATATGTTATTGGGCCAAGAAAGATTCTATGTTACTTCCACACGATATCAGGAAATTGAGTTCCTCCTTTTCAGCTTTTGGTAATACATTTTGTCCCAATGAACCTTAATCCTTCAATGCTATTTAATAGGAATAGGACTCAAAAGAAGCAGGCGATGTCTGACTTAAGTTTAATTTATGTAGATTCAAAAGACCAAAATATTATTACTGACTGGAAAGTTTGGAAATTGCGCTCCGGAGATTTCGAAAATTCAATAGTAAATATCAGTATAGAAAGCATCAACATTTGCGCGCCCAGTGTCTCCGCCGCGCGAGACAAATATATGAAATTATGTACAAATTATCTACTTCCCTGCTCGATAACATAACAGTGAAAACGTCGTGATAACTTTTAGTGAATTCTTAATATATTTATTTCAAAAACCCCAAATGAAAAGACACGACTGGACCTAATAGTCGATAGCGAACTTTTGCACGCTATTCACATTTACATGCGGCTAAATCGAGGAATGCACATTTTCCCGACGCCATCTTGAATTCATTATTAACTGGGGACATCCGTGGTTATCTTATGATAATAATGAATTAGAAAAATGGTTATCCATTAAAGTGCTCCTGTATCCCATGTCTACATCCGTAGTCAGTATTTCTATTGTCAGCTGGGAAGTAAACACGCAATAAAAGGATTTCTTTATTAAATTGACTGGAGATATTTACTATGAAAAGATGCTGATTTTTATGGCGAATTCAATGGTGTTCTCCGATTTTCCATCTACTCTGTACACAAATTTCTATAGTAGGGTAAAAACTCGAGTTTTAGAGTATTAAAGGACGAATATCTAGGTTCAGTTTTCGAATGAAAAAGGAAAACTAGGGCTGTTGATACAGAATTTCATGCAGAATCGAAGGGTAGTTTCGGAATTTCCATCTACCATGCACACAATTATGTGCTCACTATACGAAAGTAAATTTGCGTACCAGAGACTAAGTGTCGATTAATTCATACAAATCACTGTGAAAAATGTCGATACGCGAAATGCTGTTATTTTGTATTTTCGATCCGTTTATTAACTTTATTTAACTTTATATGAAATCAAAAGCTAAAATCAGTCATTATAATATGATCATTTATGATTTAAAAGTATCAAAAGTTTATCTATTGTGATTTTTGCTGCTGTAAACTAGCTTTATTTATATACATATAACAATTTAGTATTTAGGCATGTGCGAGCGACAATTATCCAATCAGAATCCAATATTTTCATTTTCCCGCGAATACGTTTGTTTTGATTACATCATTCATGATAGATACTATGACATCATAACTGAGACCCAGGGCATTGCGCGGAATTCAAAATAGCGTCGGGCAAATGTGCATTCCTCGATTTAGCCGCTAGTACGCTATTCCATGGTCGCCATTTTGATTTCGTAAGTATTACGTAATTAAAATGACGTAATTTGTCATTTTGTGGCATACCAAAGGGCAAACCTAGAGTCGGTGGGCACCACAGGTGGCCCCACCGACTAATGAAGCAAGAAATACAGGAAGTTCCAAGCCAAATTAAAAAACCTGTGCTTTCATTATTATCACATATACAATGTTCAATGTCCAATCTGCTTTCTGCATTATCACTTAATACTCCTCGATAATTTGCTTGTAAATTTACATGTACTTCATTTTCAAATATTTCCTTGGCAGTGTACTTGAAGACCAAATATTTATACCAGTGTTGTTATACAAAATAGTGCCCCAATAAGCAATTGCAGAAACTGTATTCGAATCCCAATAATTGCATGGCTTAATAGTGGAGTAACAAATAGAATATAATGTCCACAACATTGAGAAATGTCAGAACTACATGCACATGTATTAGTTTCCTGTGAGACATTACCACTACCAGGCATACCGTTTTCACTAAGGTTTTGGCCGTGGTGAAAAGAAGCTTGTTGTTCTTCAATATTTACTCCTCGTAGCTCAAACTGACTGTTTTCACCGTATAATGACTGTAAATGCAAAACAACATGGTCGATAGTTGCTGTCTCTAACAATACACAAGTCCCTTGTGGATGGCTTCTACCATATATATCCCTTGAATGAGAGTCAAATATTTTGTATTTCCATCATTTATGGAATATATGCAAACTGCATTGGAATCAATTGTCAATATAAATGCAGCAAAGTTTTCAGTCAGTAGCAACTCAAATGCTCGATGAAATAATACACAGTACTGATACCCTTCAATATGATTTTCTCCAAGTAGTCTACCACTATAGCTTTCACTGTACTGGAGAATATAATCTGTGTTAAATACTGTAAGTTGCGTAGGCAGTTCTGTAAACATTAGAAATGATTGGCTTGTCGAACGTGCCAAGTTTGAGTATAATTCATTGCCTGCAACATTCATTAACCGAGCCAAATCTTGTGATGAGTAAATCCCTGTCTTTTATTGCATATGAGCGCACATAAACACATGGCCAAACATAGCTGTCCTGCTGTTTCGCCAAATATAAGTTCATTTCCCTGACTATATGGTGCACTTATTGTCATGCTAGGATCTATATAGTATACAGGTCCAGGATTGGTCTCGATGTCTGAACAAAGCGCAGACTGATGGACATTCATTATGTGATTTAAAGTTTTGTATACCTGTCGCATACAAAAGTCGCGATTGCCAAATGCGGTGTAACAAAGATCAGTGCCAGTGGCACCATTTTTGGGAATTGATGTTGACATATTAACACATTGGAAGGCTTGCATAGTAATGTTTTGCTTTTGAGCAGCCCTTGAGAATTGACTGTTTTCAGAATTCACACCTTCATCTGTACCTTGTGAAGTTATAAATACAATCTGGTGGATTGTCAGCTTATCACGTGTGTCACATTTTGTATGCATTAATAATGTAAACATATTTAAATAACATTTTGAATAAGATTTTGAGAAACGTTTGATGTCTTTGATAGCAACATGATAGTATCTTTCGGTAATTTTGTATTCGTGTGTCATTGGCCTGGTTCGAAAACGCTCAAAATATTTTAGTGTAGGCCTTTTCACGAATAATGCATGTATGTACCCTAAGGTATATTTGCATTTTTTGTACCCGAAGGTATGTTTGTATTCATGAATCATAGACCCAGTTCGAAATCGCTCAGCATCTTTTAGTGTAGGTCTATCACGAATATGTGCACATTCATGCGAGATGAGCGTATCTGAAGATAAAATACATTCAGTACTTACCCTGTGAAACATCTATCAGGCTTCAATCTTGAATCCTTGAAAACTATACAAAATCATTCACGATAGTTTGTCCTTTCACTCCTTGAGCAGAGAATCTTGAGTCCTTGTCGCAAATGTTTCCACTTAAATATACTCAATTTTTCAACTAAATATAGTT